AGGGTATGCAAACTTTTGAGCACAACTGTATATATAGCGATTATATAGCCCCACACGACCTTGTCCTGTGAAGAGGGGGCCCCACCAGCAGCATGTCTTCTGTTCTCACAAGCTGGGAAAGCGTTGCCGCAGGTTGCCAAGATTAGATCTCTGGGCCCCCTCTTCACAGGACTCGCCCCCTCCCTGAGGCCCTAAATTTTTAAAAGAACGCTTAACCCTCACAGCCTCCATCTAACCCCATTGTACACACTACACTGCACAGACACTGCATCAACTACACACACACACACACACACACACTTTCTCTGCATTCACTAAACACACACACACTCTGCATCCACTACATACACACACTCTGCATCCACTACATACACACACTCTGCATCCACTACTTTCACAGGTTTGTGGTAAATTTGTTGATTGTCACGGAGCTCATAGTGATTGTGACCGTTCAGATTAGCTGCTCGGCTCCGCCCAGGCTTGAAAGGTTTAACCAAGGCAGGAACAGACTTGAAAGGGTTAATGGATGTGTGGTTACTCCCATTAGGAGGGGCCTCAGGGCCTATAGAATTACGAGTCTCCTCTACTGCAGATAGGTGTCCATGCCCCATATATTTGGGTGGGATGTTCTGTCCATTTACACCCCTGACTGGCAGCATTTCATCCTTGGACCAGACAGCACAATGTCTTGGCCCTGCTCTGCCTGTGAAAATTATTTATCATTTACTGATGGTGCTGAAATAACTGTTTTCATGGGCTCTGTAATATCAATACCACATAATAGGCCTTGTATTATATTTTGCATTATATATATATATATATTTTTAATTCTTTATTTGTTCACTGACAGATCTTGAGACGTTTCACAGCATTTCAGTGTGTGACTTACGCAGAAGCCAAGTGTTCCATTTTACAGTGGCATTTCTGTGAATGGCTTGCGCAGAAGCCATATGTGCATCAGTAGATGTTCTTTATCTGTCAGGTTTTTCCTTTTTTTCTTTTTTAAACAAAAACATACATATATAACATTGTATTTATATGTGATAATACCTTTTAATACAAGAGGTAGACTGAGTTACCAGAAGACTCGGTCTAATAGAGAAAAGAAAAAGGCTGAGTTGTGAAGGTGTGGTAGAGTGGAGTAGAGTGGGGTGGGGGGGGTGAGGGTTGTGGGTATTGTCTTGGTCTGGAATTCTGCAGTTTGAGCTTAGTCGACGTGTAAGTTTCGGTCGTTATGTATTGATGTAATTCTCCCATGGTTGGTCTACTAGAATGATTTTAAGGAGCCTCTTATTTGGGCCGTTAGCTTGTCTATTATATAGCATTCTTTCAGTTTATGGATTATCAGAGTCATGGGGTGTGTGGTGGGCTGGAGCCACGTTTGGTTCAGGTACCGTCTTGCTGCTAGGGCTATTTTATTAAATAATTGTTGTTCCGGTCGGGGTCAGTTGCCTAGGGGCCAGTAGGAATGCCCATGGGTCTAGTTTGACTGGTCGGGTCAGTATCCGGGAGGCCAGCATCTGCACATCTCTCCAGAATTTGTCACTTCGGGGCAAGTCCACCACATGTGTATGTATGTACCCTTGGCTCCGCAAAATCGCCAGCAGAGATCCCTGTGTGTTTTTTTCATGTGCTATAATTGAACTGGTGTGGTGTACCAACAAAGCAAGGTTTTGTAGGTTTGTTCTTGCATTGTGACACAAAGAGAAGTTTTTGCACAGGCCTCCCAGATATCTTGCCTGTCTATACTTTCTAGTGTTTCACCTAGGTCTGATTCCCACTTTGAGATGTATTGTAGGTCACCCCAGTCCTTTGTGGTAGAACAGAGGTGGGAGTAGAGCGTGGTGATCATGCCCTCTCGATAGGATTCTGCAAGGCAAATTTGTTCAAAGAATGTTGGTTTGGTTTTGGCTGCTATTTTTACCGATGTTACGCTAGTGTAGTTTTGGAGTTGGAGGTAGCAGAAAAAATCTGAGGGGGTGAGGCTTGCCCTATTTTGGAGTTCGGGGAATGTAATCACTGAGTCACCCATGTACAGTTGGTGGACTCTTTGGAGGCCTGCATTCTCTAGGCCTCTAAAATCTCTGGGTCTCATGCCCGGAGGGAGTTCTCTGTTGCGGTATATCGGGGTGAGGGGGAAAGGCGAGGACATGAGCTCGTATTTCTCGGTGTATTTATCCCATATGTGGATAGAGTTGGTAATGGATGGGCATGTTGTTCGGGGAAGTGCTCTGTGTTCTTTCAGGGTCCAAATGTAAAATTGTGGGAGGTCCGATCTCATGAGTAGGGTTTCGAGATCCACCCATCGTCTGGTGTCTGGTGGGGCGTGCCATAGGGCTATTTGGGCTAATTAGGCAGCGAGGTAGTAGAAGTGTAGGTGGGGAAGGCCCAGGCCACCTCTTGTTTTGGGTCAGTAAAGTATGGTGCGTGACACTCTGCGTCGCTTGTTCTGCCAGATGAACCAGTCTATTGCCCGTTGTAGGGGTGTAAGATCCTGTTTTGTGATAGGGAGTGGTAGGGCTTGGAATAAGAATAATATACGGGGGAATATATTCATCTTGACTGACTGTATTCTCCCGATCCAGGAGATTGGTTTGTCTGCACAGTTTTCCTATTTTGTATTATATTTTGAAAATGTACAAATCACTTTTGCTATACTTTTTGTTTGTTAGGTGTGCAACAGAAAATTAAAACAGCAAGAATTTGTAAACAAGTCATACATTTGGACCACTGGACACTTTTGCTCCCTTGATGGAATGTCTACTTGGATTTGTTTGTCTTACTTCTGTCTCTGCCAGTCTAGATGAATGGAACAATTAATTCAAGACTTGACTTTTAATGCTAATAACGTCTCAATTATCTGAAAGGAACACTACCGGCACGATAACAACATCATCATTCCCCCAAGAACACTCACGAAATGTTTAACCCAAAATTCTTGTATCCAGAACTATTTAGCTCTGCCTCTGTCGTTCTGAGAACTTGTGAAAAATATGGACGGTTCTCTAGCAATTTTGTTAATGGGGAAGTACTGATTTACTGAGAGCATCAGCTGACACTCTCAGTCAATCAGCAGTGCCTCTTTCCAAGGCTATGTGAGACTTCCACTTCCAAGAATTGGAGAGAATTTTTAAAAGGACAGGGCATGGATAGACTGCGTTGGATACAAGACGATAAGGGTAAGTCAATGCTAGAGACTACCTGGCTCAATAAAAATATAATTATTATAAAGTTGTTATGGTGCCTAGAATGTTCTTTTATGTTCACAAACTTACAAATTAATAGAGGATAAAACAAACTCAATGTTCTGCCATGGTTTATTTAAAGGAACACTATAGTCACCAAAACAACTAGTTAATGTAATAGTACTAGTGTGTATAGCCTGTCCCTGCAGACATTGTTTTTGAGAAGCAAAAGCATTATATGGTCAGGAATACACTTTTGTATTCCTGACTTTATAGTGTTCCTTTAATGCAATATCCTAATTTCAATCCAATAAACATTTGTAATGGAAAAAAAAAAAACATTTGTTCTAAAAAGAAAGAAATGTTACATCTCTAACGAGTTGTTCTTGAACTGTATATAGATCAAGGCTTCACTTTTCAGTTTAATTTCCCTTTTTATATTCTAACTTCTGTAACTATGTATAGATATGGCATGACTTACCTACCCCTCATTCCCCAAGAACAACTCTTATTGGAAGTCACTCTGGATCTCTTATTTTGCTGCTATGTGCGACGTTTTACAAATGATTAATGGTTTAAAGCACTTCCACCTCATCTATAGTGGGATTGATCACTCACTAACCACAGAGAGAAGACTAGACCCTACTAGAGTAGAAGGAAGCTAGACCCTACTAGAGTAGGAGAAAACAGGACACATTCACAGTCCTGATCGTCTCTCTCCTGACATAGGGGGATTAAAACTGGAAGTTTAAGAAGCCATCAAATTAGAAAGAAAACCCCAGTATGCCAAACTGATAGTACTCTTTCCTAGTTACTGCTTATTACCTGCTACCAGATTCTTATCTGTTCCTTATGTAGGATCCATTTTGCTTAATATCCTAGCTGTTCATATAAGGGTTAATTTGAACCAAGAATAAAGATTCTTGGAAATAAAATTTATCTAAAATCCTATTTACGGGAAATGTTCTTGGACAATGATTTCAAAATGTCCTTGGAGATTTTGAGATGTTATTGGACAATGATTTTGGGATGTTCTTGTTAATTGTCCAAGATTTCGGTATTTGTAATCATCTGGGTTTTATCCAATATGCATACATTATATAACATAGAATTATGACTAGAAACAGCTGTTTCTAACTTGTGAAAAACAAACTATGTCACTAATGCTCATGGCCCCCACCGACATGAAAATGGTGTATAAATATAACTGACGTATGAATAAAATTTGAATTGGTTATAGAACACATCTCTTGTCTTCTTGACTGATTCCCAGGATCCTGTCTAACAAAGAGGGTGTGGCTCCGACAAAATATCCATCTAACAAAGAGGGTTTCGTGTATAGCTGATTTTATCCCCTACACCTTAGACATGTATTTGTGATGTGGATTTAATTTATGCCGCCAGCAGCAACTGGGTGTTAATTGATATAGATCCAAATATTGATCTTTGTTATATTCAGAGGAAGCCCAAATTATTATTACAAGTGCACTTGGAATTAGACACCAGACACGTGTGGGTTATCAAAATAAGCCTCTGTCGTTTTATTTGTCAGCTGGGTTTTTATACATTAAAAAGTAAGTGCTTATGTGCAAATACTCATAGGGCAGTAGTAGGAAGGGAGTGAAAGGGTAAAAAGAGTACAGATAAGACATAGGGATGAATGGCATGTACATATAACAGATAAGTTCAGAGAAAGAGAAAGAACAGAATGATTTGAGAAGAGACATCTCAGGTGGGGGCTCTCTGCTCCCGGAACTAGACATATATGGTCTTAAGGGTCGTTTTAAGCATCAAGCATTTCCTGAGTCCAAGTTAGCCAATTTTAATATAGGATATCATTATATGACACCTATAAGCTTGAGCCTTGGAATCAAGATAAATTCTATCACAACCCCCCTCTTTTGATACAAGGGTCACCCAAATGTCCAAGGTATTTCCAGGCCTGCTAGCCAAAGCCTGTGGGACTTTCATTTATTTCTTCACCACGGTTCCCATGGACTGAGAGACCACCAGAATGAGCAGAGGAGAGTTCCTTCATTTGTTAGGCGAGGAAACATCGTAAAACCCTTGTGAAGTCGGAGCTGGAATGTAAGTTAAGGTACGACCAACAGTAGGTTTGTTTTTACATAGAGAGCTTAGTAGACATGAGAAAAATCATGACATGGGAAAATGGCCATAATAAGAAATACATCTAATAGCAAAAAGTACAAAATTATCTTAATTAGTAAAGTCAACCATGTTCCTAGCCCAAATGTCCAGTCCCAATCCCCAAGAAGCCAGTATCCTGTTTGATATCCTGTACTAAGTCATGTTTCATTAGTAAGTAGTCAATGGCTGCTCTGTTCTCTGTACAATTCATAGTGGTGCTCAGGGCTCTACAATTTGTGGTATTTTTTTTGCCATGTGGGGCAAAACAGGGATTCAGTATTGGGGTCTCTTGAACAATTACATGAAAAAGACCAACATAGTTCAGCGGCTGTCACATTAATTGTCTTAAGGGCTAGGGGTTGAAAGCATAAGAATATAGTTGTAGAGATTTATGGGGTCTATGGGTATGTAGGTACTTCCTCAAGAGTGAGATGGGGTAGGGACAGCTTTAAGACAAGATTCTATGGCGTTTTCAGTACTGACTAGAAGGTTAAGGCAAAAGGAGGTTAAATTAAAAGCCTTTGATATCTGCAACCATATATTTCCCAGCCATGCATTATTATCTTCTGGTCTCAAGTCAGAGTAGCATATCTGAACAGAGAATACAATGGTAAAGAATAAGAACAGCTTCATGTCGGTGGATCAGTCGGAGGGACTTGTTTACAGTGACTGGCGTGTATCCATGTGGCTTTTCCTTCTAGTTTCACTGAGGTAGCCGTAGTCAGGAGCACTTGGAATGGACTGTCAAAGAAGCATGGTTCAAGTCCTTTCCTCACATGCCTCTTTATCACCACCCAATCCCCAGGCTGCAGTTTGTGAGTTGCAGAATCAGAGTCTGGATCTAGGATAGAATTAAAGACTTGTTTATGCACCCTGCCTAATCTTTGGTGTAGGGCCTGTACATAGGTATTCATACTACCATGCTGCATCTGGAGGGAAAAAAGAGGCCTGTCTTTGGGGTACATCCAAACAGGATCTCAAAAAGGGATAGGCCATGTCTGGAATTGGGGTGAATGAGTGAATCTGGCCAACCTAAAAAGAGATCAATGCACACCAACACATATTCATACATATTCATACACTCCTACCTCAGGCAGTTGAATATAGTCTATCTGCAGTCTTTGAAATGGGTAAAGTGGCCTTGGTGTATGCTTACTTGGTGTTTTGACAGCCTGTCCTGGATTGTTTCTAGCACAAATCATGCAAGCTTGGGTGTGTTTAGCTGCTACAACAGTAAATCCGGGTGCTACCCAATGGGTGTTTACTATTTGGTTCATGTGCATCTTGTATAGATGTGAAGGTCAATGGGCCATCTGGGCCATCATGGGGTACAACACTCGTGGCAAACACAGTCTTTTAACTTTCCTCCACATTCTGTCATCATCAGGTTCTGCATCTTGTTTCCTCCAGAGGTCATGTTATTCCTTGCGTGCCTGTCTTTGTAAGCTCAGCAATATACTGTAGTCAACGGCATCATCTGTAATAACAACTTGCAGGAAGGTATTACCTGTAGAAGGAAGTGCTTGGATTGCTGCTTGCTTGGCAGCTTCATCTGCTCTGTGGTTTCCTCTTGTAATTTCATCTGTGATCTTCACGTGAGCTGCCACCTTGATGATGCCTACTTGAGTGGGTAGCAGGATAGCGTCCATAAGTGCACTCACAGCTCTTGATTGGAGTTCCTGCTGAGGTGAGAAAGTCACGAGCCCGCCATATAGGGCCAAAATCATGGGCTATACCGAAGGCATAGCGAGAGTCTGTATAAATATTAGCAGTCTTACCAGAAGCCATTTTACACGCTTCAGTGAGTGCCTTCAGCTCTGCCTCCTGTGCAGAGCAGAGAGGAGTGAGTGGTTCAGCTTTTATTACCTCATGTGCAGAGACTACAGCATATCCAGTGTGGAAATTACCCTTCTCACCAGCATATCTGGAACCATCTACAAAAAACTCATAATTGGCATTAGATAATGGAGAATCAACTACATGCAAACAAACTGTTGTTTCTTGTGCCATTAGTACTGCACAACCATGGGGTACCTGGGCGTCAGCTTACTCATCTGGTGAAAGTGAATTTACAAAAAGATCAGAAGTACAAGTACCATTCCCACTATCCCCAGGGGAAGTAATGTAGATGGATTTAACACCATACACCTTTTCCATGTAACATTAGGTATTAGTTGGCATAAGCAAGGCACATTGCATTCTGAGATGCCTTGCAGTATGTATGTGTTTTGGTTGAATTTGTGACAGTATGCTGTTGATGTCATGCAGTGTGTACATTGTCACTAGGTTATCTAAGACAATATCAGTGGCTTTGTCCAGGAGGGCAGTAACAGCCGCCACCTAACACATGATGGGGCACCCCTGGCAACAGGGTGCAATCTGGTGGAGTAGTATCCTATTGGTCTTTGTTTACCACTATGGTCCTGTGGAAGGACAGATGTAGCATAACCTGATTGCTCAGTACAGAACAGGGTAAAATTATTTCTGTAATCTGGAAGACCCAGTGCCGGAGCTGACGTTACCAGCAACTTAAGGGTGTAGAAAGCATTTTGTCGTATCCAAGGTCGACATTATGAAACTAAACCTAGAAATGTACGCAGCTGGGCTAGGCTGCGGGGGGAGGTTAATATTTTGAACTGCAGTTTTTCTACTTTCCGTGAGATGTTTTGTGCCATGGGAAATACAATGTCCTAGGAAAATAACTTTTTCTACACATGCTTGCAGCTTTGCTTTTGTCGCTTTGCAGCCTGCTTTTGCCAAGAATTTCAGCAAGGAAAAGGTGTTTACAATACAAGTTTCCATATTATCGCAACATATCTTCAAGAATCTGGGCCATAGCCATACTGTACATAGTGGGTGAGTTTTGTGCGCCCTTGGGCAACACTGCCCAAGTGTCCTGCATGTGTTTATGTGTAAATGCAAATAAATACTGACTGTCAGGATCCAGAGGGACACTGAAAAATGCATTTGCCAAGTCAATAACAGTAAATACCTAAGAGGAAGGTGGTATCTGTGCCAACAAGGTGTGTGGGTTGGCAACATCGGGGCAATGAGTTCAGTTACAGCATTAATTGCCTTGCAAATCATGTACCATACAGTAGACCACAGGTTTCCCTTTCGCTTGCTTTTTCTTAATTTGGTACAATGGTGTGTTACAAGGGGAGGTGGTCTGGACAATTACCCCTGCCTGCAGTAATGCTTGCACAGATTGGGAAATAGCATCTTCCTGTACTGGGCTTAGGGGGTATTGTTTTTATTAGGGAGGGGTGGCTCCGGGCAGGAGATTCACTTTGACTGGGGGCACAGAGAGTCTGCCTGTATCTGTCTTCCCTGTAGCCCATAAGGAATCAGGGACTGAGGACAAGTCAATGGTAGGTTCTGGCACATAGCTGGGCATAGTGAGAGTTGCCAGAACATTTGCAAGAGATATTATTTGTTTGTCCTCTAAAGGCACTTTTCCAGTGGGGCTATACTGGATATTTGCATTAAGGGCAGACAGTATATCAGTGCCTAGTAGATTAGCAGGGGCATGAGGGCTGACAAGGATGCCTCCTAAGCCATCTGTAGGATGGTGAAGAATGTTTCCACAGATTAATCTTTCCCTTGTACTATACTGTATCTCCTAATTTATGGGCTAGTTCCTCTGTCTTTACTTTAACCCATTCTCTCATTGCAGTGACAAAACATGCTCCAGATGCAGACTTGGTTCTAAACCATTCATATGTTGGCATATTGCTTCTACTGAGGCTATCCTCATGTGCATCAGTATATTTAGCAATTATTATAGCCCAAATGGGGTCAGTTTTTTGTGGGCGAAAATCTGCTTTAAATCCTTCCAAGTACACTGGAAAGTAGCTTGAATGGTGGATAGAGGCTGGATTAGAACTAGGGTTCATTTTCAACATCTGGCAGCTGCTGTATTATTGCCAGTTGTTCACTGGGTTTCAAGGGCTTATATTCTTCACAGTATTGGATACCTGAGCTCGGCTGTCTCTTCTCCTGGTATACACTCTCAACTTTGAGTATCATGGGAGTAGTAAATTGTGGAGCTAATGGCCCCACTAGGGTGTCTATGGGGGCAACTAGGGGTTCCCGTAAGTGGTGGACTACCCTCCTCTTCTAATGAACTTACAGGGGCTGCTGGGGAACCATATGAAGTCCCACTGCATAATATTACTGGAAAGAGAGGTTTTGATCTCCGTAAAAGGGAAATTGCCTGGTCTTTAGGGACCAAAGGAGTCCCTGCATTATCCTGGTAAAAGGGTGGGTTTACAAGATTTGTCCCAGGATCTTGCCTACTCTGGGACCCTAGAGATCCAAAACATTGATAATATTGTACACCTTTTCTGGTTGTTTCTCTACAACCACATTTAGTTAATTCAACAGCAGTATCATGCCATTTGTGGGCGACTTCATTATCTTCTGACCAACCTCTGTAATATGCCATAAATTCTCTCCATATATGTGGGTCTAGAGTGCCCTCTGAGGGCATTCCAGCTTTCTTAAGTAACCTCTTAACATTCTTAATTGCTCCTTGTCCTTTGTGATGCTTGACAATAGTCAAAGCTGTAAATCCCCCTTGAGTGCTTTCAGAGCTACCCAACTTGAAACTTGTAAGGGTTAATTCCTTACACGAGACAAACTGTACAAAAACAGTGTATAAGACACTTAGGACCGCTGCAGTGGAATTTTCACAGTCTTGTCTCCGTTATTCTAAACACAGATCAGAAGATCTGCCCATGGAGGATTCTAACTCAAATTATAAAACAAATGAGAAGGCAAACAATAAAAATAACTTAAAACCCACAGATATATTCCACTATCTCAAGATTCCTTTCCCAAGACATAACACAACATCCACCTGAATATAACCATAATACCACAGAAAACAAGTGCTTTAGATCAGACGTTTTTAAAATCCTTACCCACCTGGACAGAGTTTTAAAGCTTTTTCTTACCCGATGCAGCTGATTAACCATCTGGGCTCCGAGCCAACCCTTCTGGGTCCGGATGGACTGGACTCGTCTGATCCTGGGTTTCACTGCACCAAATTGATATAGATCCAAAATATTGATCTTGGGGACGGGGCTGGACTGCCCAGCCGAGCGGCAGCCATCCTCACCGGCTCCCACATTAAGCGGCATAAAATACACACAAACCTGTAAAAAACCCACAAAATACTGACAAAAAGACAGACAGTCAGGAGGTGATGAACCCGGGAACACAGTGCTGCGACACTAACCTGGCAAGGAACACAAATGGAGCACAACAAGCCCCAGAGGCCTGTGACACGCTGCATGAGCCGGGACCGCAACATGAAAGGGAAATGCAAGAGATTCCGGTCCGGCTCTGCTCCTCCCCCCCCCTCTCGGCTGGGGGTGGTGATCCCGGCATAAGAGTCCAAGCTTTGAAGGCTGGAGGTGGGGGCACACTCGACACATGATGTCTTCCCTGATGGAGCCAAAATGGCCGACAAACATCTCACATCTGCACAGCAATGAGGGGCGCCCCGCGCACATGAGGCAGAAGCCCAAGCTGGGTTGACCCGGCCCCCGGAATGGGGGACCCCACGACTGAACCCTCTCAGGCGGCGGACCGGTCGGCATGGAGCCGGCCCTGATCTTCGGATTTGGTTTTGTTCCGGAGAATATGCCCCCAAATCTGTGAGCCCTGTGGCGCTTCAGTGCGCAGACCCGTCGGCGGACCGGTGGCCGGTGGGCCGCGCACCGGCGCCATGTATGAGACTGGAAGCGGGTGAGGCAGGACGGGACCGGAGCTCCAGGGAGACCCTGCTGTAGCTGGGGAGGTGCAGGAGGCTGGAGCCCTGGCAGACCCTACGGGGGGGAGGGTGCCAGACAGCTGCGGTCTCTGAGTGCCCACAGCGCGGTGGAACTTACTGTGGGCACGGACGCAAACCTTGGGGGGGTTGTCGAGGGGGGCCAGCCGTGATCGGGGACGCCAGGGGGACTCAGATGGGAACAGCTGGCTCACTGAACGCATATTAACCCTGTGACAACTTACGGTACAGCTATACCGGAGGAAAGCTCGTGGACATACCACCTGGGAGGCTGGGAACTCCACGCTAGACAGTCTCCTCACACCGGGCGTCATTACGCCCCCTCCAGTGAAGTGACTCACAATTTTTTTTTTCCCTTCTTTTCTTTTTCTGTTAAGGATGTTTTAAATAGGCTAAACATGCCACTTCTCGATATTATGGGAACCCATGTACACTTAATATAATTTGTTTGTTTATGCATTCCTTTACCAGTATCGCATCAATAGCTAAGGCATACATCAGCCCTTGTATCATAGGATGGTAATTTCTTTTAAAAATGCATTAGTTTGCCTATATACTTCATTACATGTATTGCATGATCAGCTACAGTTTACTTCAGATTGACGCATTATAGGATGTTATTACCTCCATTTTGTATCTTATATACAGAGCTATTGCTTCAGACGCTCTGATAATTATTATAGCACTTAGTATTTTTTTTTTTTAAGCATACGCCTGCTAAAGTTTGACGCACACATTACCCCTTTGCAGACTGGAACCATAACGTAACGCACATCAATGCCCCAGTGTAAATCTTAAACCTATATACTCAGGCTATATCTCATCACGCTTATCTGTGTCCTGTGCACTGGCCGCAGATTAATTTAAAATCACTGCACAACTGAGATACTGCAACATAATGCGCTGGGTTGCCTGATGTTGCAACGCGCAAGAGTTTAAAAAAGTTGTAATAACATGGCTCATCTATACACCGTGAAGGCGGCAGACTTACTTGAATGTTTACCCTTCACGCACATTAACTTCAGAACATCACGCCTTAATACCCATTACCTACAGCACATCCCTGAAATCTGTTAGACCCAAACTATATTATATCTTATGCTGCATTAAATTAAATGCCTGCCACACGTTTACATGGTCGCATATGTTGGCAATTGGAATCACATGATCATTAAGCCCCGCTAACATACACAGCTACGAGCTGCAAGGCCCGCCTATTACCAAGTTACTTGCTGGCACAAGCCGACACCAGATTACTTACAGGCTTCATTTGATGCTGGTGAATTTATAGAGTTCTAAGACTTAGCCTGGTACAGTCATAAATGTAATTACAGAAGATTTAATGCCTGATGACAATAATTCGCTATACTGCCACGAAATAATAGGCCTCTGCGTAGGCAACTGTAAGCTTCTCATCATTGTAGAACTGTACCTGACTTGTTTTGTGCTTAAAATAAAAATGATTTAAAACAAAATATTGATCTTTGTTATATTCAGAGGAAGCCCAAATTATTATTACAAGTGCACTTGGAGAAGCGTGAATTAGACACCAGATGCGTGTTGGTTATCAAAATAAGCCTCTGTCGTTTTATTCGTCAGCTGGGTTTTTATACATTAAAAAGTAAGTAGTTGAGTGCAAATACTTACAGGACAGTAGTAGGAAGGGAGTAAAAGAGTGAAAGGAGTACAGATAAGACATAGGGATGAATGGCATGTACATATAACAAATAAGTTCCGAGAAAGAGAAAGAACAGAATGATTTGAGAAGAGAAATCTCAGATGGGGGTTCTCTGCTCCCGGAACTAGACATATATGGTCTTAAGTGTCGTTTTAAGCATCAAGCATTTCCTGAGTCCAAGTTAGCCAATTTTAATATAGGATATCATTATATGACACCTATAAGCTTGAGCCTTGGAATCAAGATAAATTCTATCACATAATTCCTCATAGAATTGCTCTGCTGTACTTGTTGTGCATCCTGCTTCTCCTTAATCTCAGTTGTAAGAATGCATTTTAATTTTATTTTAGAACATTTGTAGATATATTTTGGACTGCAATACATTCAATTTTAAATAAATATTTCCCAAAATATTGTTAGGCTTAGTAGATGACGCCCACTATGCAACAGGAAGCTGGATAAAATGATACCAAGATCACAATACAGATAAGGGCAAGACAATAGTGTGGTCAGGTGGCACAGGTTCTTAAATGGTGAAACAAGCGAGGGTCGCAGACCAGAAATCAGAAGCACAGCAGGAAAGGAAGAGTGACAGCAAAGTGTAACTGAGCGAAGAGGAACAGGAGGATACTGCTTGGGGAGAAGAGGTATGCCCCCCCACATTACTTCCACCTTCTCTACACACTCCCTGTTTGGGACCACCCCCTCTCCCTTTAAGTGGGCACTATTCCAGCGCATTTGCACCTATGGAGGTGGGTCTCCCCAAGTCTTCGCCCATCAGCCATGCATCTGTGGAGATGGCCTTTTCCTCCAATTCGCGGGATGCTAATGGGAAGCGGCACCACTTCGAATGGAGAGAAAAAGACCAGCCACCAGTTTGCAGCAGCAGCGGCTAACAGGCTGAACCAGGAGACAATGAAGGCACGCGCCTCCAAGAAGAGAAAGGAAGACACAAAGAGGGAGTGCAAGGTAAGCCAAAGGTAGAGTGGGGCCTGACAAATACTCTGTATTGAACAAGTTGAAAAACTTTCCCCCCATTCAGCATCTCCACAGGCTGTTTATGACCCTGCTGTCTCCTAGGCAAACAAAGAGGATTCAGTTGCATGGCATGTTCCACCTTCCCACACATCAGTCATGTAAGGCATCGGTCGCTGGAGATCTCCTTGTCAATTCCAGAATGAGCAGGATAAGGTGGCCTTCTTGCATGCAACTAGGGGAAAGACGCTATATTGCTTTGAGGAGTTGGAACTCACCTTTTCTGAAGATCTCTCTCGCTTCACCCTGCTGTGGAGGAAATCACTCAGAACTTTAATGGCATCATTGTCTTCCCACTACCTGAAATATAGATGGGGCTGCCCAAGTTTGCTCATTATCCACCACAACAACACCAAGCACAAAGTAACTGATGCCTCAGAGATGGAGACGTTCGCCTTGGGCCTCAGTCAACAACCTCAACACACTCTCTCCTTTTGGAATCCAGCTAACATTATCCT